CGGGAAATACACAAACCTAGCTGCATGAAATCTAGCACCTAACGTTACGTGCATGTATAGGTAACCACTAAATAAAATAATGCATGCCAGTGCAAAACCAACACTGCAAACAAATGGTCTTGTCAAAAAGGTCTTCTTATCCTACACTATTAAATACATGTTACAGTGTATTTCTCATTGTAGATGTTGTAAAGAAGACAAGCCATCATGAAAAAATGCAACTCGAGTCGGGGTTAGAAGATCGATTCCATCTATTTACTGTAGATAAATTTGTTCTCAATTCTTTGTCGTCATGAAAATGAAAGTAACTCATCCCCCTACGATTAATGCCACGAGTAAATTTTGCTTAAAATCGGAGTTGTAGCGATGTTTACTACCCGTTCTATGATGAAACGCCATACTGTTTACAGTTTCTATGCCTCCCGGTGAGGGCGCTGCGAAAATCGGAACATCATTTTTCCATTCGGAATTAGAGTACCCAACTTAAAGTGAAAAGTCTAGAAACGTCCCGAATGAGTCAGCAGTCCCTCTCTTATATGTCTCTGCTGTGACCTAGCCAACACATGAAAAAAATGTCAAAGGGAGGCTACTTGCCATCTCTTTCTATTTTGAGTTACTCAGCTTAAATGTAACAGGCCCAAGGGAGAGAGGGCAACCAAGATTAGCAAGCATGTTTATACATGTAGTAGTGTAAATTCATAAAGGGGGATTCGAGCATTGATATAAAATAAGAAGCAAAAAAAAAAACTATAATAACATTTACAACAACAAAATAAAAAGACAGGGGTTATTGGGGGAGGGGGGTTTCGGGATTCCCACCCTCACTCATTAAATACGGAGGACAGTTTGACCAATTACTGCTGCCATTTAAATAAGAAAGTAGTAAAGTGAATAAATAACAATGCCAATTATATTAGTCCTTGTATATATAGTATAAAAAAATAAATTCAATAGCAGTTTTCTTTTTTTTTTTCAATCTCCTTGATAAAAGTTTATATAAAAAACAATTGATTTTTCGTGACTCTGTCATTGCAAAAATTTATGATAGATCCCAGGCCTGTAGGTAGCAATTTCAGTTGGGGGAGGGGGAGGCACAGCCATACATTTTCCGTTGGGGACACTATCAACTACCAAATTTCTTGACAAGCAAAAAAAAGGGGGGGGGGGGGATGCATCAGACGTTTTTATTGACGGGACACAAGCATATAGTAGCTTTGTTTTATACAGTATTCTATATATCGGCAAAATTATTGGGAGGGGGGGCATGGCCAACCCCCCCAACCCCCAACCCCCCGGTTCCTAAGGCCATGTATCCTGAATGTATTATTATTATAATTAACGGATATAACTGCTACCGATAATTTTGCCTGTCTATCATATTTGTTTTTTTTTGAAAGGATGTCTATATAGAATATAACTTCATAGATCAGGCATTTGAACATGGTATTTGGGGGGGGGGGAGGGGGTATGATAATATGTCGTTCAACATGTGGTCTATAGTTTTTTTTCGACGGTCTGTAATGATAGCCATTTACTACTGCCAGTAGCTGTTTCTCGTATATTTTTGTTTAATTACAAATAGTAACGATCCGAAAACGTCCAAGTTAAAAATCTCATATGCAATATGTATACGATATTATGATTATTTTATCGTCTTCTGTACTCATTATCGCCTATCTATTTGTAGTTATGTTAGAAATTGCACATGGAGAAATGGAACGTTATTTTAAATATATGAAAATTATGAGCAAAATGTTAAAACTGGTTTTGAACTATATGAAAGTCCTAGATGTTGTTATGTTTCAATGTAATTTTCACTTCTCACCAGATAATCATTGCTTCATGATTTTGTTAAAAGGGTTTATAATAGGTACTCCCCAATATGAAAGTGTGTAAGATATGATAACATGATAACAAAACGATTAGTTAGCAATAATTCATTCGGTCATTTTTATCATCTGAAATCTCTTTTCATATCTATTGTTGGTATATAAAAAAAGTTTCTCTTTGATGATATAACATATTTATCATGATAAACTAGTGAACTTTATTTCGAATAAGTAATTTACATTGAGTAAAGTGGTATATGTGCCATTTCCGTTTATTTTGTTTTTTTTAACTTCAGGTTCCGTTTTGAAATTCAATTACTTTGGAAATCTTGTGTTTTCGTTGAAAAATAATTTTTTGCGACCGATTTGATGTTTTGCATCACGGATGTTTAACAGTCATTCTACAAAAACATGACCAATTAAGAATTTTTCATGTCGCTTGCAAATTTACAGTTGCAATATCTGAACTATAAATATAAAGGTCGATTTCAACCCTAAGACTTAACATATACACATGGTTTTGTAAATATTCACCAATATATATGCAGTTAAAGTTTTGATATGAACATAATGTTATGTTGAAAAACGTATTCCACTGCAAATCTAAATGTCGCTTCATTTATTTACAAATTTCAAGATGAAATTTTCAGTCGTAAACTCGTTCCAAATAGATTGCAATGAATGTTGAAAAATGTCTTTTATTCTATATAAAAAGAAATCAAACCACTTCTCGCAAAGAAATGCATGGATCTCCTTTCATGCGAATTCATAAGCATGTCGCTTAAAATCTATTAACTTCCGTAACGATTTTGTTTTAAATTTCACGGCGTCGCATAGAATGCAGATTTCAAAAAGAACTGAAACTTATCTGAAAGTGACCACGGAACCTTATATTATCGATTCTAGTTGCGAGTCAGCTATTTTAGACGATTACATTTTCAACATAACAAAATGAATTAGACAAAAACTGTTGTCTCTTTTAAAAATTTAACTTCCGTAACGGTAACTCAGGAAAGTTTTTGAATTAAAGGTATCAACATTTTTATCATTTTGGGAGCGAAATGCTTCATACTTTTGTTTAATATCCTAAAACAAACTTTGATTTTAACTATTGAAGAGAATTTTAACTCTGATTGCTGGGAATTAACTTCCGTAACGATTAACTTCCGTAACGATATTTCCCCCGAAAATTTAATTTAAATTCGGATTCATGCGAACTTTAGCGTTCTTTATTGAACACCAGAAAAGAAAAATTGGTCAAATTCAGCTTTATTTCAAAAATAATAAGGCTTGATCAAGCATTGACTTCCGTAACATTACCTTAAAATCAATGGTATCTTGAAATTGTTGTAAAAAGTTAACGATACCAGATTTGTGGACAATTCTTTGTTTTCAAGTTCACTGATATATACTTTAGAGAATTATGATGTTTATTTTGCTATTTGAAACAATTATTTTTTTCATGTTTTTTACTCTGAATCGGTCCATTTATCGTAGAATGACTGTTAAAAGTCTGTAGTGGCTTCTTTCCTGACAATCTGTGGTGCGCAGGATTGTTGTCAAATGTCACTATTTTACGTGTATTACGTGTATGAACTACAATTTCATTTCAAATGTCTGGGAAATGCCATAAATTTCGGAAGTGCAACGAAATTCTCAAAATGACAATAAAATAGATGGTAACTTCAAACGTATTCATTTTTAATGCAACTTTTCATTTTAATTTTATGTTTTCATTATTAAAGAGTACTCTTGTATTTTCTGGAAAAAAAAGTTTTTTTTTTTTTTTTTTTTGTACGCCGTATGACCATACAGTAACACATTTATGAAAGATAAAATCCTTATCCATGGCTTCTATGGTATATATTTTACTACATTAATTCAGTTTTACTCAAATATGATGGATTAACACTTTGTGTTTGTTTTCAGCTTAACGTGTCTCTTATTATCATTTAAAACGTGTTACATGTATCAACGATTATACATGAACCAGACAACGGTTGTATATAACAAATATTTGGCATTTCTTTAGAGTACAAATAGCTTTAATTAAAAAATAAACCAAAAGTTTTCAGAACTTCTTGAAAAATTCAAAGTAAAATTTTACAAAATTTTAAAGAAGAGACTATATTGGTTATCTCTATTCCATTAACGTACATGTTACTGTCTTATACAAAATGTCAACGTCACGACGTTAAAGTATGTAACGTCAACGTAATGACGTGATAGTATTAATAAGGAAAACAATACCAAATTTAAATGAATGTAAAAAGAAAATCAGAAAAGTTATTGTTAAAAAATAAATTGTTTTACAACATACAAATCTTAGAGTTTTATGTGAGAAAGTTTCATTCATTTTGATGACTGGGCCAATTTAGCCCCTTCATGGATTTAGCTCTTTCAATCAGAAAAGCTCACTTGAGCCTTTGGCTCAGGTGAGCTAAAAACAACCAATCTAATTAAAATAAAATGTTCCAATTCCGCTACCGCTTATAAAACATCTAACAACATCCCATTAGGGGTCATGTCAGAGTGACCTTTTGATTATTCAATGAAATCGTCACCGCTGAAATCTTGGCTTATAGTTCGGATGTGATTTTTTTCACTGCCAAACTAAACGCCCGAAGAGTTTCGTGGTAAACAAAACTATGCCTGGCAAACACCATGCTATGTATGAATGTGGGATATCTTTTATTCGTAGTTGGTGCATTTTTGTTTGCATTAATTTATTCAGATAAGAATGCCAGATTGGCAGACTATACATTGAATTTATACCAAAATTACTTGAATTCAACATAAGACAGACTAATGAGCATCAATAATGTTAAGATGTAGCCATGACACTAATTTTAGAATCGTTATAGAGAAGCTTGAATCTGATTGTTCAAAATTGTCATGTTTATTCATCATTGAAAGGTCACACCAGTGATCCTGTATGGGATGTTGTTAGATGTTTGAGAAGCACTACCGAATTCAGAACATCTAATTTTAATTAAATTGAAAAAAACATGCCTGAATAACATAATTTAATCCTTGCACTAAATATTCAATTTTCATTATTTCTGTTTTAAAAGAAGGGGTTACAGAACAAATACTGTAATTATATATCCTCAATGATATACATATGTACATTTTTTTCCCCACTTGATGACTTCGTATATAAAAACTTACCAACTGGAGGGGGAAGTTGTGAGGAAGGTTGAAGACCAGCCTCCTGAAACAAATAGGATTTACAAGATTAGAATAACATAATTATCAATGCAGGGGCTTCTTTTAAGATGTATATTAAGTTTTCATTGAATCACAAAAGGACTATAACATCCAGAATTTCAAAATAGAAACCTGTTCCTGGTGTCTTCTTTGAACCCGAGCAACATATTTATCTCCCTTGTTGTTCCGTAGGAAGGCACACCGTGGGAACCACTTTGCATGCTCCATCCAGGGTTCATCCGTCCTGTCCCAATTTCTGAGGCCTCCTCCACAGAAAAAACAACGTGCATAGTCCCCATATCCTGCAAAGAAACATTAATTTACAATTACTATTTTTACACAAACATTTATATAATTATACATTCTACGAAGCTTTTAATTGTCCAATCCACACTGCAAAAAGTAAATTGTATCCCTTTGTAAGATCAGCCAAATGGTTGAAAGGGAAAAAAATCTGTTCTTCTGTGAAAATTCTATAGGTATTTCCCAAAATGATACATCTTTTGAAAAACGTGGATCTATCTTTTGGTGTAAAATTCATACCTGCATAAAAAAATCCAGCTCGTGCCATTTCTCTTGGTGTTTGAGCCATGTGTGAAGGCCATCCATCAAAAGAGCTTAATCTGGTAGAATACACAGCATAGGCAGGATATTTAGGCTTGTCAAAGTTAATCCCTAATGGATCAAGCTGAGCCAATCTCTCAGCAGACGTGGGGGCCGGAGGATTGGCACCACTCTGTGGGGGTCCTGGAGGATTAGCACCACCTTGTCTGGTGGCAGAACTCGAAGCAGAAATACTGGTGTTTCTAGTACTTTGAGCAGTGGAAGTCTGGCTTGATTGTCTTGACTGGGTAGATGCTGGGGGCACACTTGGAGCAATACTTTCACTTGTTGCCTGTGCTTCTCCACCAGGACTTGCTTCCAAAGGCCTGGAATGGGGCTGAATCTCCTCTGTTGTTAGTCCTGGAGTTGATGCTGGTTCCCAGGAGGAACTAGATGTAACAGAAGGCTCAGGTTGTATTGAAGCTCCTGTGAGTGGCACTTCATGGACCACTGAGCCATGTGCTCCCTGACTTGCACTGGCTGCTGCCTTGGCTTTGGCCTGTTCTTCCTTTTTCTTCTTTTTCTTGTCTCTCTTGAGTTTAGATTTACTTGGTTGTTGGCCAGAAGCTGGAAAGATAAAGAAAATTCCATCTCATTTGCTGTAAAACAGATCAGTGTTAGTATGTGTAACAATTTTTACCTTTCAATCTTTTACCTCAAGGATTTTTCAAGAAAATCTGGAGTTAAGGTCATTATTAATTAGAAAGGACAAGGTACGGTAACGGCCGAATCTGGCCCCGTATTTGATGTAAAAATCAGAACACAGTTAAAATTGTGATAGTTTGTATTTAAGAACTTAAAATGATGCTTGTTTTAAAACCAGCACTAATTTTGATTCAAAGCTTACACGGAGGCCACTAGAGGGTGCAGAAGTAGGACATTTTCCCGAATTTCCTCAATTCTGGTGGAATTTCGTCAAATTTGAAATACTTTTCACTTCGGGAAACATACAGCACAAGCTTGCCTATCTGAGATTTTTATACATAAGATGCATCTGATACTAGTGTATGAAATATATAAATTTGGTAGATAGGCAAGCTTGTGCTCTGTTTTCTGAAACAAAATGTGCTGTAAAATTGATGAAAATTTGCATAAAAATGAGAAAATTCCAAAATTGACACATTTCTGACCTACCTATGACCTCTGTGTATCCCATAACTTAGAACCAATACTCATTTTGTGTCAGGGGTAACAACAGGTTTCTATTGATAAACTGTTGCATGATTCTACAAGACACACCAAACCAGGGGCCAAAAAGGGGTCTTAGCCTATCTTGTCCTTTATTTAAAAAAATTAAATATCTCACCCAGCTCTTGTTCTGAACCCTGGTCTACACTTGTACCATCTGCTGATGCCCCAAAGGATGTTGATGGTGTTGGGGACTGTCTGGTCTGGTCTTGTGGCAATGAAACTGTGTTGGGACTTCCAAGATTAGGGTTCCGTAAATGCTCAATTGCTGCCCGACTATACTGCATTGAAGGGTCATTTCTTATGCCATGAATAGGAACATTATTTGTTTCTCTACCATTAATGAAAGGACAGTCTGGTGATATTTGCCTGTGCACTGCCTCAATATTGGATTCTGCACTCCATTCGTTATACGTCTGGCGACAAAAATAACATCGTGTTTCTATGGTATGCCCTGTGTAGTAGAACCCATTGTTAGCTAGTTTTATGGCAGATATGCCAACATTAGCAGGGTAGGTTTGAAAAGTAATAATTCTAAACCATTCTAACCTCATCCTTGACTCAATTGCCTCATCATTTCCATCTATTACTTGTCGCAAAAAGTTGTCCAAGTCTGTCTCTTGTGCTGCATGTGGTTGATTAGGCTGTTGTAATGGTTGGATGTCTGTCTCTTGTGCTGCCTGTGGTTGATTAGGCTGTTGCTGTAATGGTTGGATGTCTGTCTCTTGTGCTGCCTGTGGTTGACTAGGCTGTTGTTGTAATGGTTGGACATCTATGGAAACCAGCTGATAATTCTTAGATATCTTTAGATGCTCCCTCAGAAATGACAAACCTTTAGGTATAGACTGAATCTTGTACAGCATTTCGGGAAGTGACATATTTTCAATTTTTTCCATAGAAACTTGTGACATAGAATGCCTATGTTTTATGGCTTCATACCTTTGGAAAAATCTGATCAATTTTTTTTTAATTAGATGAGATTTTTCAGCACTTAAGTCATGTTGATATTTCAATGGGTTATGTTGAATGTGCTGTCTACTTTGTGATGTTGCATTCTGAAGACTTACAAGCAGTGTTAGATTATCTGTGATTGGTGATTTCAATGGAAGGCTTGAAAATGAAAGCCGACGATTTGTACATTCTGATGGATTCCTGTGATTAAAATCATCCATGATAGTATTCACTGAATTTGGAACATTCTCATTTTGACAAATATCACGATGCCGCAATATCTTATTTTTGACCAAATTATGACATTTTCTTTCTCTCTTCATTTTTGCGCTATTTGATAATCTTGTCCCTGTGGTGGAATCAAAAATAAGTTTTCCTGGAACTAAGGCACAACTTTGGCCTTTGAGAATCTTGTTTCTCCTTCTAATTGTATTTGTAGGCAGAGTCTGCCCATTCCATTTAACTTCGCATAAAATCTGCCCAATATGCTTCTTTGGTTTGGCCTTTTGACTAGACAAGTTTACAAAGTCAGAATTTTGTGCTTCTGACATTAAATCGGAATCTGTTGATCCTGGACTCCTGTTAATTGTGAGTGAATTTCTTCTGTTTTCTGACAATATAGAAGATGACATTCCTTTGTTGGGTAGTAATGAATTTCCATTATTATCCAATTGTTTTAGCACCCTGCATACAAATGATACAATATTCATAATCATCAAATTATAATCAAAATACGAGTCATCTGTTTTGCAGTGAGAGTTACCATTATTCTTGTCTTCCTGCTTTAAGGGAAGCACATTACTTGTAGGATATGAAATACAGGTCAATACTTCCTTCTCTTTACATAACCACAATTCATACTTTGGAGGTATCCTTTGTACCATCCATGGACAAAGTCTTTGGAGCAAAATTTGGAATTCACTAGTACTTAAGGAAGATCCATTGGAAATATCCTGAAAAAAATAAATCCACATTGTTTCTTTCACATTAAAATACTGTTCCTGCTCCCCTTTCCAACCTGAAAAATAGATTTTTACATTTTCTTTGTAGCACTTTTCTTTCTTGTTTTCATGTAGGATCTTATGCATCATTCCAAAACGCAATGGTTCATGTATCATGAGCATAAAAAGTTGTTCATACATTGTTGCTAAAATATTTCTTTCTCCCATAAAAAAATTGCAAGTTTTCCGAGTGTCTTGACAGTGTCTGATTTCCAATTCTGCACCTTCTATACTTTTTATTTCATCTCTAATTGACAACATTCTGTCAGGTAAGGGGGTCTTGAAAGTTATTTCTTCCAATTCTAAAAACTGTTCTTGCTCAAAAATGTCTTCATTGTGGTACATCTCTTGAGTGTGTTCTCCCATAAAGAGCTTACTTTGTCCTATTTCCTTGTTTTTCCCATCAATAATTCTAGGTCTTTGAGGAGTTTTCAATTCATCAAGACTTGTCAAGATGAAACAATCTATATGATCATTGAACTGGGGAAGAGATTGGTCATTTACTTTATTACCATCTTCATCACCACCTTCACTGAATTGTTTTTCTCCTCTGTCCTTTACCATATTTACCAAATTAAATTGTGTTGTGGATGTTTTTTCCAAGTTTTCATCCACTGCTGTCACACATAATCCTTCACCATCTTTCTCTCCATGTTTCTCCAACAGTTCTTGACATATTTTGTTAACACCAATATCATTACTATCTTCTTCACAACTGGTTGTACAGTCTCTAGCTAACACATTACTATTGTTTACATCATTGTCAACTGGAGAAGCACAGTTATTTGATGCTTCAAAGCTGAATATACCTTTTCTTTCTTCTTGTGTTTTGTATTCCCCAAGGTTGGAGTTTTCAGCTATGAACATTTCAGATGCATCTTTGTCTCTGTGCAGCTCTACTGAAGGCAATGGTGACAACTGTGTACTCCGAGGACAAATACATTTCCGTGATCCTGATTGAGAAAAATTTAAATAATGTCCACTGCTAATGGAACATAGAGAAGACAATTGTAAAGAAATTGCTCTATCTGATGTTCCAAAGCTGGAAAGTGAATTTAATGATGACCAGTTTTTCAATGGGGATGAAGGTGAATGCTTACATACAGAACTGAAAGAACTGAGAGATGCAGGTGATGGAAGCTCCGGGAAGGAAACAACTCTTTCAATTGAACATTCAAAATCCTTCATATGAATATCTTTAAAATTATTTTGACTAAGTTTTTCATCTGAACTTAGTATATTCTCCAAACTTGTTTCATGTAGATCAGAGGATATGGAGGAGCCATCAGACATAACCTGACTTTGATGTAGCCACATAGTTGTACCAACAGTGCCAGGATCCTGCTCTCTGTCCACACATTTCAGGTTTTGTGATTCAATACAACTTACTTCTGACTCATTAGAAATGCTCCCTTTTCTCAAACTTGATACCATATAATTCTCTTTTTCACCATGTTCATTCGCCTCAACATGGATATTAGATTGAAAAAGAGAGGACATTTCCAAGGAATCAGAGCAGTCTGCACTTTCGGATGGAACTAAGCTTCTCGAGTAGCACGTTTCCTTATCTTTATGTGAACAGAGGTAATTACTACTGGCATTTTCACTGCTAGGACAAGTCGACATGGAATTATATCCAGAGCTTTTATCATCTTCCGTACATTTTACCATAACAGACTCACACACAGTACTTTTATGGTTATAATGATCACACATGCAATGAAATTTGACTGAATCACTTTGGTAACAGGTTTGTTCACTGGAGGTCTTATTACTGTCCCCTTCTCCTTGACCTTTAACACAGCTCTCCATCTGCTTCCAGTCATTTTTACTAACTTTTGTCCTTTTTTCCACAAGATATTCTGTTTCATTATTTAAACTAAATGTAAGTTTAAAATCTGTACAACTTGTTTCCACATTACACCTGTTGCTATCAGCTATCACAATTACTCCATTAGACTTCCTCAGAAAAAGGTCTTTTTTCTCCTCTTCAAAGGACAGAGTCCTGTTCCTTTCTTTAATAATTAGTTCTTCATCGATGTCATCTGTTTCACTTTTCACACAATAAAGAAATTTATTCAACACCTTCTTCTTGAGTTTTTCCATTATGATCATTTTTTTAAGGTTCTGCAGCACACAAAGATTCTGAACAATCTGGCACTATTTAATTTTAAGTCTTTTACATTTCCCAAAGATTTTCTTCAGATTCCAGCAAATCTAAAATGTAAAAACAAAAATATTTTAATTAACAAGTGGAAAGCTATCAGTGACAGCAAACTGGGTTTTCCTTGTGTGAACAGAACTTAAAGCTGACATGAACTCTTAAACATGTGATATTTTCATCCTTGTACGACTTATTTCATTCCCGTACTCCCTTTTCCGCCATATTTCTTTCAGATTTGCTCACTTATTTTACCGGCTATATAAACCCTGATGCCTGTGTTACAATTGAGTGATTTTCTAGTCTGGCTGTCGACATGTACACATCTCCGATAACAAAGTTTCGGAACACGCCATGAACCGACCAAAAACATGTAGGCCTGTACATATCTCCAATAAAGCAGTTTTGGAACATGCAATAAATCTAACAATCCTACCAAAACTAGGAATTTTATTGAAAACTGGAAAGGAGTATATAAATTTTGAATAATTTAGATGCAATGCATAAAAATCAAAACGGCAAATGCATGTTTGATATACATATATATAAAATATATGAACAACAAAGAAGAAAAGGCTACACATGCATTTTTTTCCAAATAACACTACTGTTGAGTTTTATGCATGCTTCACGGTTTAAGTACATACTATGCAACTTACGCATTCAAGTTATACATGCATGCATGCCAAGAAAACGCGTCGAACGCTTTTAACTCATCTGCCTGAAATACTTCTTTCGCTACAGGGATGTGCACATGTCGAAAGAATTACTTCCTATTTTCCTTTTATTGAAATATATGCATCACAGAAGAAATAACTCCATTTGTAACTCAACGGTAAACACATTGTCACGAACACTTGAACACACGTGGTCCCTGTTGATCAGCATTTTTGGTCAGGGAAAATATCGAAGGTGGAAATGACACTGGTATCTGCCTGATTAGACAATATAGTCACGCATATAAAACGTTTCAGAAATCGAACTAACTGTTGTCGGTACATGTAGTAAATATGTTCATGAATGTGGCTTCATTACATCAAATTTAATACATAAACGACATTCTTGTTACGGATCTTACATCTTTTAAAGAAAATGAAAAGGGGGGGGGGATATGTAAGAATATATTTTTCAATATATTTTAAACAAACGTCGGATCGTAGCATCCTTTTTGAAAGTTTGGGGGGGGGGGGGCAGCCAGAGAAAATAATTTCAACTTACCTGAAAAAAAACTTGACAAGCCCAAAAAACAAAAAACAAAAAACAAAAACAAAAAAAGGAAAATTGTCCGAACTAGAAAATCCTATTTCGTGGGGGGGAGGGGGGGGGGGTAGATTCCAACTTAATTCTTTCAGTACCAAATTTTTATTCATACACTACTACAAAACCATTATTTGACTATGTGACTATTCTCCCACAAAAAAAGGGGGGGGGGGGGGGGCTGGTAAAAATAAAGTCTTTGGAAAAAAGTGCCCCCCCCCCCCCCCCCCGTCTCTACCTGCCTGTTACACACACTGGGAAATTTGTTTCTGAAGACAGATTATTTTCAAATCAGGGCCCTTTTAGGCGTCTCGAATTATAAGCACGATTGATACAATTACCAACAAGCACAGACATAATAATGTGTTTATAAAATAATCTACAGTACACATTTTTGTATAAATTGAAGGTGAGTAAGTATTACACTATTAGTATATATGAAAGTAATATTGATAATTGAAATAGTTATACCGTGTACCCATATGTAAAGTGGGGAGATTAAACAATCCTCGCATTGCAAAAGATATCACGAGGCGATGCAAAAGCACTAATTATTACATTACATAAGTTTTTTTTCACAATTAGACATATTTACACGTTGTAGACATTTAAAGAAATTTGTAATGTGACTGAATAATTAAAATATGGTTGCGTGTATGTGTATTTTTTCTTTAAATATTATATAATTAATAGTCAAAGTTTATAGGAAAGGAAAACAATGTGCCCCTGAGAGTGATCCACCCTGCCCCAGAAAAAAATCCTTGATCTGCCCTTATGAAGACTATATATAGCATTTCCCATGATTTTTACTACATCGGATTTTATATGCATTATTACTCTTACATGCATAGATGCTAACAATTGAGAGAGAGAGAGACAGAGAGAGAGAGAGAGGGTATACTTGTATGGAAAATGCCTGTGGAATTTCTCCAATCTGGAAAGGTTGCCTATACATGCATATAAAACAGGCATGTAGCACCATTTCTCAAAATGTGTGTATGCGAGGGGGAGCGGGGGGGAGGGGTGTAAAATGATTGACAAACAAAAGAAAAACTTTAGGCACTTAAAAATTGGGAGAAGTGAAAAAGGTAAACAGGCATTTAAAAAAATCCGTAGTCAGGAGAGGGACAGATTCCATTCATACTATCATTTTCGGCAGAAAAATATTTGAGTACAATGTACAATAATGTTGGATGAGAGTGGGGGGGGGGGGGGGGGATATAGCCAATCTTAAATAAAAA